AAAAAATCCCAGAAATTAGTTTGGATTAATGTTTATTTTCCTCACCCATACTTTTCCACAGTGGATCTTGCTGTGACCTCTCTCCAGCATCCCAGCATCGTGGCACACGACCCTGACTACTGTGGCTTCTTCTTCCTCCTGTGCCTCCTTTGCCTCCTTCCCCGTCTTCCCTCCTTTCACGCCGCTATCTTTGCTCCCTCCCTCATTCTTCCTTTTCTCCAAGGCCTGCTTGGTTTTGTCTTTTGCTTTTTTAGGGGACGACACCTTGAAAAGGCTGCCATACGTCACTACACACTGACCTCCTCTGGTTGCTGTGCTCAGACTAGGACTCCAAGGAAAAATGTGAATAACACCAGCAGCGATCTGACTTATGGTACAAAGACGGTCCGGAGGTGCACCGCACACTCTGTAGACAGAGTCGGGAAAGACAACGGGGATGTTGGGCACAGGAGCGTGATCGTAAGGGCCCCGAATTATATGATGGATCAGGCTTCTCAGGTCAGCGATGCCTCCCCACTGCTGGCTGAGACCGGGGTGTGAGGTGACCTCTGGCGATGGCTCTGATGAGGAAGACAGAGTCGAGTCTGGCTGGAAGTGAGATTGCTCATCAAGGTTGACTCTCCTGACAGCATCGCTGATTTTGCTCATACTAGTGCGGATCTTCTGAGACACCACGAGCTCTGTGAACTGCTCCAATCGACCGTAGGGGACAAGCGGGTAGACGGAAGCTGTGTTGAAATAAAAACAGGTGACAGCGCGCTTGTGAGTATTAAACTCGGACATAATCTTACCTCAGAGATTGAAAAAAAAAAAAAAAGATCAAATTAACACAGACTTATTATAATGTAGATTACTGTATGACTGTCCACCCAAACAGGAAACACGCCATGCTGGAAAACCACTCTGATCTGATCCAGAAGCTTCTGCTCCAATGCAGAACTGTGAAGTTCCTGGGAGATGAGAAACAAATAAAAGGCTGCATTTGGCTTTAGATCAAAAGAGTAACGCATGACATTTAGAGAAATATAAGAGCTTAATGTACAGAGCCCAACAAATGTTTTAATACCACTTCAAGGTAGTTCAACAAAAAGTAGAACAGCACACTTTTTGGGATTTGACGTGGGTGAAAGGTGAAACTCTTCCAAAGGTGTGAATATTTTTCCAATGTACTTTAGCCATTTTGGTGCCTTTTCAACCATGCGTACAATATTACCATCACTCACCAAGATCTCCCAGTCATCAGACGACAAAGGCTCCACAAACACCCGATTTAAAGAGGAGACTTGATGGCACGGTTTCAGAAAACCCTGCCAAAAAAAAAAAAAAACAACAACGTCAATAAAACAACTGATCTGAACACACGTTGATGCAATAATGGACTTTGTTTTTTTGCTTGTTTGTTTTGTGTAACACTGTAAAAGCGAAACAACAAATCAAGGAAAAAAAGTTTTACTTGTTCTCCTTCTTTCAAGCCCAGCTTCTCTCCCATTTGCCGACACAGCTCGACGTCGTTGCTGTGTGGGTCGGAGGACGCCCTGTTTTGGGTCCAAGTGAGGAACACTGGAGGTGCATTGTCCCAGGACAGCTCCAAGGTCTGGTTCTGAAAACAGACAGAAAACATGTTTGACCCAGCAACTAACAATGACGATTCAAACTATGCTTGTGTGCTTGTGGGTCTGTAGAGAAAGATGGGATAAAAGCTTCAGGAAAACCAAAACAAAAAAAAAAAAAGAAAGTAAGAAATCACAAAAAATACAGGGGATTCTTTAAAACATTTTTTTTTTCTTGTGCAATTACATGTCTAGACTGAGTTTATTAACCTGGTGCACAGTAAAAAATGAGGGCAGGTAATTAAAGCTGTATGCTGTACTCATGAAAATAAGAAATAAACACAGTTTTTATCTAATGTCTGTTTCATTTAACAAGAAATAATATTACAAACTAATTAGAGTTGGTAGAGATAACTAACATGTTTCAGCATGGTCTCCATAAGTTTTATCTAAGATATCTAGAAACTGATATTTTTGCTGTTTACTCTTTAAACACACCACAAAGTCCATTAGACTGAATGGAGAGCATGCAACCCCTAATTGCATCTCCACTCCATGGTTATCTGGCTCTCTATATTCCACAATGAAGATAATGTATTCAGACGGTGCAATGTTAATTTTCTTACTTTTTATGATGCATTTTTACGGTGGATTTTACTTAGGAGTTCCGGAGTAAAGGAGGCTGAATATAAATCCAAGTCACATTTTTCAGATTTCTATTTGGGGAAAATATATGTAAGTGTTTTCACTTATATATCTGAAGCATATATTTTTAATGAAGGATAGAGATTATTGTCTATAAAAAAAAGTATCAATCCTACTCCAGATTTTGAAAACACTGACATGAGGCAGCTTTTGTCCTGTATTCTAGGAAATAAATAAGCATACATGCAGACATAAAAAAAAATACACGACTGCATTAAATAAAGCATGAAAAGATACATAAATAAAACAACAAGCATCAAATAAGGAACTTATTGCAACTCTGATAACACATTGCAGAGTAGGTCTCGCTAGGCTAACCTACCTCCTGTAATGAAAGGTGCGATATCATCGTCGACGGGAGGTGAAGGAAGCAGTTTTTAGCGTTGTTAAAAACAACTCTTATAGGTTGAATGCCCTGTCTACTAAACATTCTTTTCACATTGCCAAAGTAGCTCTGAGAACTCCTAACAGGCTGCTCCGCTGCTGTTGGAAATGCAACAACTCCTGAATCGATCGATGTCCTCTGCCAACGGCAAACCAGACCAAAGTAACGGAGACTCGATGTTTCTTTCAAAATAAGACGCTTGGAACGAGTCTTCAATCGAAGCAGTAACGTTCATAACAACTGCTGGCATTTATTTTGAAGGGCGTCAACCGGAAATGCATTTTCTCACAAATATGGCGGCCCCTGTCAACAATAGATCGGATTGTTGGAGAGTCCCAGAAGTCTACAAACATCACGAACAGCAAAGAGTGTGCATTTCTCGACCAAAATACCGAGAAGGGAGAAAGGCCAAAGCAGTTAAGGTAAATTTAGTTTGAAAATGAAAGTGTACCCTAATTTATGGAACACATGAAAAGCTAAGCGAGACTTTGCTTAACCACAAACATCATACAAATGACATATTTCCTCAGTTTTAGTGTGGTACATTTGGGTTTTATTATGAATCTGCCCGAGCTTAGTGTCGTGTTCAAATTGTGCAAACAATTCACTTGCATTTAGTGTTTTTTCTTTTTGTTGTTGTTGTTTTTTCATATTGTGCCAGTTTGCAACAAATGACATTCGGTGGTACATTGCAAGACAAATTGATCAATGCTATATCCAGTTAGAATAATTTTTTGTGAAATATAAACAAAGAGAATACACAAAGTTAACGGCAGAAATACCTCTGTCAATTGGATTTTCCAGGAAAGAGGGTCACAGCCAAATCCAGAATCAGTAGGCAATGTGTTCTACAGAAAACTGGAACAAAGAGAGTACAGGAAATGTACAGCAAAGGAGTTGGCAGCAATTGCTCCAACGACGCCACACAAAAAGTCTCAAAATGTTATTCCTAAACAAACGCCGCAGATGGACTCACCTTAACGGCAATAATATTTGTTAAACTATGACTTATTATTTTAAAAGACCCTTCGAACTACCAATCTGAGCACATTTGTTTTCTTTCATCAGGTTTACACCATAAATCTAGAGTCCCGTTACCTGATGGTTCAAGGGGTTCCAGCCATCGGCGTAATGACGGAGCTGATCCAGCTGTGTGCGCTGTATGGCAGCGTCGAGGAGTACCGACCCCTGGACGAGTATCCAGCCGAGGAATTCACTGAGGTCTACCTCGTCAAGTTTCAGAAACTAACAAGCGCCAGGTACGTTGTGTATGAATTACTTTGGTCATAGGTCTTCAGTAATAAAGTAAAGTACACCTTCTCAATGATTTATTTATTTATTTTGTTTAAATTGTCTGGTTTCAGGGCAGCAAAACGCAACATGGATGAGAAGAGTTTCTACGGTGGTGTGCTGCATGTGTGCTATGTCCCAGAGTACGAGACGGTGGAGGACACCAGGCTGAAGTTGCAAGACAGAAGAAGTTACATTGCCAGAGCAGCTCGGAGTAGAGGTATGATGACATTTTAATCTGTAGATTTAAAGATATGATTTGAAATATTTTAATGTTTGACTTTTTTTTTTCTTTCTTATTCCAAAGCAAAACAAAGAGAAAAGACAGAAGCAACACAAGAAAGTTTGGTATTATCAGAAGCACCAACCTCATCAGACAAAATTTCCACCAGTCGTGATGTAACATCTAGAAATGAAGATACAGGAGAGGCTTTAAGCCTGAGCCACTATTCAGAGTTTCCTCCGCTGCCATTACCACCTCAAGAACATTGTTCATTCAGACAAAAAAGTCACCGCAGACTTGTACCAACAGAGGATAAAATGGGGACTTTGCATAATGCCTTCTATAACGTAGAACAGCAGCAAGTGGACAGTTTGAGCTCCAACCCAACAACCTCTAACAGGGAGCAAGGCACGGAGAGCAGACTGGGTCCAAATCCTGGTTCTGGAGTCAGATTTATTCCAAGGATCACTAACTTGGAGAGCAGAAAGCGCAAAGTAGAAGAGTCTGGAGAGCCTGCTGCAAACGTTTCTGGAGAAAACGAGCCGCTGATTGGACCTAAACTACCGGAAGCGGCAAAACTGGACATGGAAGATGAGTCTTTAAACACGACCGTCGGCCTAATCAGGAGCACAATGAAGCAGGTAATTATTCAGTGATTATTTTTATTTTTACATAACAAATATTGTGGCACATTGTATGTCTGTCTAATTCTTAGGTGGGATCAGTTCCAGACCTCAAAACAGCTAAGAAAAAAGCAAAACCACGTCGCCGGATATAAACCGGACCGATGTCCACCACTGCTTTGGAAGTTGAATGTCTCTCTTTTCAGATTGCATTTATTTATGTGTTGCAAGCAGATACTACGATTTTTATTAAAGACACAGCTGAAAGTTTACACTGATATGAATTGTTTCATTGCTCTGGTTCCTTAAAAGCAAGCTGCTCAAACTTCGCAATGATCTGAAAGAAGAAAAAAAGAAACAGTTTATGGGATTAAGAACAATGACAGAAATGTAAACTTTATTCGTCTTGTAATTTGTCAGATTACCGTGTTATCAGGGAGGCAGGGTCCAAATGCCTGAAGGAAAAGGTTCTCATCTAGTACTGATTTTTGAAAGTCATCAAAAGACAGCATGCCGTCATGATCCAGGTCCTAAAAGGGTGGAAAGACGCAACCGGTAAATCAACTACAAATCGACATTTTAATTTTTTTTTTTTTTTTTTCTGAGACGATCAGACCAAAACCTCATCTCTAGCCTCGATGAAAAAGATTAGAGTTCCCAACAAACCATTATATTTGAACAGTGATCTCCTCACCATCTTCTTCATTGTGATCTCAACCACATCTTTAATTCCTTCGTCTGGATCCTCCTCACTAGGCCATTTGATGAAGCTGTGCTTCAGCATGTGAAAAATCTCGTCTTTGGAGATGAACTTGTCATTATTTAAGTCATACACTCGAAAGGTGTCTGATTAATGCAAACAAAAAAAAAAAAAAGAAAAGGTTAACATCTGGAAAAATGTGGAGAATCAAAAGTGCTACAGTTTTTAGAAAAAGTCAGAATTTAATTTTAATTCTAAATACTTCTAGATTTTAGTCCTAATTATTTACATGTCTAATGTAGGCATAAATACACATTGTAATAATGTCATATTCAAACTGGAAGTCATGTTTGAATATGACTTCCATATTCAATCATGACAATGGATCATGTGTTCCATTGTACCATGAATAATTTAAAATGTGATCCTAAAGTTCAGGGTTCTTTAGTAGTCTTCAAACCTAAACACATATAGAATTTGCTTCTATTATTTTTCCAAGTATGGTTTAGTTTGGAAAAATGAAAAATCCATGGAAAAAATATTTGATTTGTCAGACTTTTTCTGCTTTCTGAAGGACAAAATTCTAGAAATGCCTACTTACACTAAATTAGTGTAAAACCATATTGAGGTATCAAATTAAGTTTACTATTCATTAAAAAAAAATGCTTCCAGGTCAGATTAATGGCGATATCGGTAAATAAGGATTTAAAAACTGATTTTGTTTGACTAGTGGCATTTGTGGACTTCCATAAAGTGCATGAAAGATGAGCTTAAGAACACAGAGCTGAGAACTTGCGCCTTATTTTTTCATCAAGAGTCCCACGAAGAAAAACAGCAAGTCCTCTGATCCATTCCTCCAGAATAATGACACCGTGGCCATCTTTGTCAAAACTTCTGAAAACTTCCGAACAGAAAAAGTGTTACAAAGCTGCAAACCTAAGATGTAAAAAAAAAAAAAATTCACGGGATTGTTAGCAAGTCTTTTAAAACGTTAGTTTCTATCAGAAGCAAAAAGGTGGGGGGCAAGGGGGACGTCAGCACTTGTAAAGGCAAGAAAATATCTAACGTTTAACTAAAAACGAAAGGGCTTTTGCACATATTCAATATGTTTATTATCAAAGACAAGTTGAAGTTTTCTAAATGTTGAATTTAAGAAAAATAAGCCTAGAAAAAAATCAGATATTTATCCATGTTCCAATTATAGTGAATCCTGCCAAAAGCATCAGTACCTCCGTCCATCATTACGGCATTGGTCATCTCAAAAGTGCCCTGCAGTAAGCCTCGAAACTTCCCTCTTTTCAGGCCATTTGCTGGTCGCCCTCGGCTGAACTGCTCCGCCATAAGGCTGTTAAACATCAGGATCAGACTCTCGAGCTCCGTTTTATTGACTAAAAAACAAACAAAAACATATAATTTCATATATTGTGACGTTTTGACAGTTGTAACTTTGTGATTGTTAGGGAAATGTTAGCCAAATCTGAGCAGACAAAAGAAGAAAACAGGCAGGTAGAAAACTCACAATGTTCGACTTTTCTCGAGAGAGCTTCAACCTGGGCATGTAGCACCTTTTTGCTCTTAGCCGTCATTTCCATCATTTTTGAACAGCTTCTTGGTTGGTTTGACGCCGCTTAGCGAGAACTGCATTGGTTTAGGGAGGAAGAAGGGTTGTTGACTGTGCGTATCCATGGCAACAGCGAGGAACGGTAGCTCGCGTTTCGGAAACGGACTGCAATTTAAAAGCCTTTAGCATAGCAGTGTGGTGTGCTTACAGTATAGTTGTGATTTGTAGTGAAAATATATATATTTTTTGTTCTTACAATAAAAAAAATAAAATAAAAAAACACGACACAACTTATGTGGGGTACACCCAAATAAATACCCCCAGATCCATGCTTTGTAGAATAAAATTTTTCTGTAATAGTAGCTTTTTTTAAGGGTATGTCTGCAGCTGCTTTTCACATCTTCAATTTCCGTCTCTCCTTTGCAAACTCGCTCAAGCTCTGTTCTCTGGCAGCATACCGAGGATACATGTTTAGCTTTTGCCACAGGTTCTCTTGGATTGGATTGAGATTTGCACTTTGACTCTATCTGAAGGTTTTCGGTTGATGGAAAATGGTGAGAAGTGAGACACTGTGACCAATTAAAACACATTTACAAAACAAATTTAGAAAAAGGTTTCACCACACACATTTTGTTTACAAACTTTAGAACATATTAAGCATAGTTGTCATATGCTACAAAGGATGCAATTATGTTCTTCTTTATTTTATTATTTAACCAACGATAGGCATAAGCTTACCAACTATCCAATGACAATTTCTGGCAAATCACATCAAGTAATAGTTAAATATTTGATGCTGAATAGAAAAAACTCAGTCAAAAAGCCAGTGTGTCATCAGTTGTCACCATCTTATTTTACACAAACACAAGCAGCATTACTATATCCATTGCAACATTCACTAAGCTTATTCTTTTATCATAAAAAGGTAACACGTAGTACACGCAAAAAGATCAGGTTGCATTTAATGGCTTTAAGATTAAAGATGAGGGTAAACTAGTTCAAATAAACTAATACCAATATTTTTCTCCAAATATGCTTTTCTGGTGGATCACCATATTTTAATGTAGCAAAATAGGATTAAAACTAAACTGATTTTGTAACTAAAGATGCTGACATATTTTGTTACAAAACCAAGCTCTGTAAATGTGAGACAGGGTTCTGTTTTAAAGCCCGACATGAGATTCATTGCACCCAGTTAAAAACCCATCCACTTTTACAGAGTAGTCATTTCAAAGCTAATTTTTTTTTTATTCTGATATCATCCCAGATGAGAACAAAAATCCCGTCACTGCCACCTGCTGGACTAAACCTGCATAGGTTCAGACTGCGATTCTGTCATCAACTCTCTCTTTGATAAGAAAAGAATAGAGAAATTAGGGTTGACGTTTAAACACCTTCTTTTGTAAAAGTGTAACATTACATGACCTTATCTTCTGTTTAGGCTACTAACCACATAGTCATTTAAATAATTTCGTTACAAAGTGTGTAGTTATGAGGTTCAAACACAAGATTGCAACGAGAATCATTCAAATGTGTTTACAAATGAGCCACTAATGAAAGAATATCAAACTTATTTTTACTAACAGAGTCAAAGATGATTGAAAAGAATGTAACAGCCCTAATACAAATAGGAAAAAGAGGATTAACATTGGGTATCTGCTGTTGTCCAGTAAAAACCATATTTTTATGCTTCCAGCCATAAGTGTCAACGAGAACAATCACTAATTTATAGATTACATTTAATATTAAATGAGTAAACTGCAATTGATTATAAATGCTTTTTTTTTACCAGATTAAATACTGAGTGAGCAAAGTTAATTTTAAAACGCAGACATCTGCAGACACATGACTTATTCCTATACTTTAAGAATATTGCACAACTACCGACTTCATTTTCCGTGTGAGCGTCAGTGTACATCATAACAGAGAGGTTACATGGTGCCAATAACAAGGGGTTTCTCCCATCAGTCCAACAGATGGAACATGAATGAGTGTTGGAGTGCAAGACGCTACGGTCACACAGGCCGCTGAGTCAGGTTAGTTCTGATCGGCAGCGTCATGTCGATCCAGCGGTTCGGGTTTTCGATCATGGAGGTCCACACGGTGACTTCGTCTTCCGTGGAGTCCATCCAGCTAACGACTTCGCCGTAGCTCTGACCTGGCGTGAGGAAATGACACAAAGAAGTGTTGCTGTGGACGTCATCAGAAGCATGCAGCCAGGATATGTCACCACAAAAAAAAACAAAAAAAAACAGTGTGTATGCATATTTTTGCCTTCTGTCAGTTTTGCATGAAGTGATTCGTAATGAAACAAATTGTGCATCATGTCAGAACACTTTGAAAAGCAAAAATACAATTTACAAAAGTCCACCGTTTGCGATATTTCTGTGAATATCCTCAGAAGGTAAATCATGATGTTTACACATAACTGACTCTTTCAGATGTCAGTTAAGCAATACAGGGGAAAAAAACAGAAGCAATCCAAGATGTACACCATCTTGAAGTCATCAGAAGCAGGAAGTATCCCCAGACCATCATACTACCACCGCCACCGCACTATTTCACTGTCTGTATGAGTTTTTCTGTTTCCTTTCATATCTCATCAGCTCAACAATTTTTTAAAATATTTTTTTAACGTAAAGGTCATTTTATATTCAGGTATCTTTGTCTGATTTTAAAATCTAAAAAATGCAAATGATCTGAAACATGTACAGCAAGTATAACAAAAAAACAAAGCAAGCATGTAAGAAATTGTTAAGGAAGCAAAAACTTTTTCAAACCCTTTTGCAAGATGATACGGCTTCTTTAACCTGGGCTTCTACAGGATATAAAACAAGCCAACATGTTGCATTTAGAGATATTTTTGAGACAACCTTGCTTGGGTCACAGGACCTTCTGAAACATTTGAAATTCTTATAATACTTTGCCAATGTAAAGTATGGAAGTCCCGAATAACACCAATCAGCCTTACTGGCGTTAACACTAACCAGTTTATTATTTAATATGTCATATTTACAGGTGAAAGAAAACCTGCTGCCCTGGTAACTGCATTATAGCATTAAGATTATTTTGCATGGACAAAAGATGAGGGAGAAAAATTTCAAAAACATTCCCAGATGCTAAGCGTAGGTCTTTCTATGAGAGTTTTTTTTTTTTTTTTTTTAATTTTTACCTTTTAGCAATACATAATCTAGCTACAATATCACAACTGTAAAATGAACGGGGAGGGGGGGGGGGGTGGTGTTGTTTTTTGTTCCCTTTGTGAATACCAGAACCTGTGTGAGGTTTATTCACTTGAACGTTGCCAGAAGCAGCTGTTTGGTTTAATCTAAAGCAAACAGCTAAACTAATAAAAGCATAAAGATTCTCACCGGTCCCACAGCTCAGACGAACCCCTCCCAGACTGTCCGTCTTCAGTCCGTCTCTGTGCCAGACGGTGAGCTCGGCACAGGCCTCCCTCAGGTCGCTGCTTTGAAAGCCGTCGTAGACCATGGTGTGGTTGTACGTCGGACTGATGGAGTGCTTCACCACCCGCGTCTTCTGACCGCTCTGTCGACTGACATCTGGAAGGATGTAGCTTGGTTTGGAAGGGAAGGGAGAGACGATCGAGACTTGATTTTAGTATATATATATTTCAAGCGACTACAGTGGGATTACAAAGTTATAGGCAATAAAAATGGTTGTGTAGGAAAAGCATTACATAATTGTTTATGGCTTTAATATGCATTTAAACGTTCGTGCAGAATTCAAAATGCGACATATTTTGATAGCACAATCACTTCATACATAAGGATTTTTGGTAACGCTTTATTTGAAGGGGTTTGCATAAGACTGACATGACACTGTCATAAACATGACATAACATCTGTCATGAACATTCAGAAGTCTTTATGAATGTTTATGACAGTTGTCATGAAGTGTCATTTGGTAAATAATGACACTTTTAATGCAAAGTTGCTCTAAAAGTTGCGTTAAAAGTCCATTAAAAATGCTAACTTTGCATTAAATTACCATAATTTACAAAATCATGCAAAGTTTGCACTTTTAATGCAACTTTTAGAGCAACTTTGCATTAAAAGTGTCATTATTTACTGAATGACATGTCATGCCAGTCTTATGCACACCCCTTCAAATAAAGTGTTATCGGATTTTTTTATTTATTTTATTTTTTCAGATTTTCAATTTGTGAGAAAATAGTATAAAGTTGATACTCTATAACAGAGTTGCCAGTGGTCTGTGCTGTATTGTGTGTACTACTGCTTAAAATAAATGAAAAAGAATGTGCTGACAAACATACTGAAGAGCAAGCGTACCTTTTCACAAAGGAGTCAATAGCACCTCCTTTCTTAGTCAGGAGACCTTGAGCTTCCCTGAGCCAGATGTGAACCTCTCCTGTCAAAGGCAGACCGCCACCTGAACGCAAACATCCAAACAAACACAGAGAACGTTACAGTACTCACGCATCTGTGGCGTGGATGCCGGTCAGGTTTATTCCTCTCACCCTCAGATCCCTCAGGAGCAAATTTAATAGACAACATGAGGTTTCCTCTGGTGCTGATAGACTCTGGATTCAGGTGAACCTGTATGTAAAAAAATAAAAATAAAAAACATCAAAAGGATAAGAGCAGAGCAATGGATGAAGGCGCAGACTTGTGAAGGCTGGGACAGACCAAGGTTATGTAAAACCTTATTTAAAATTCACAGCATGTCTTCCTCTTCCTTCAGCTCTCCCAGACACAAGACACACTCCTCCCCTTTTATCTCCGACAGAGCAGCTAAAATGTCTGTTTCACATTCCGTCAGATGCCGAAGAAATACAGATGCAGGCGGCAATGCTTCCACCACCATTCATTTCATGACCAAACACAATTTCAGTTCCACTTTTGAAACGGTCTCTCATCATGTTCTCTTAATGATTAGAATAAGTTGGTATTATTACACTCCTCATGTTGTACCTCGCAGCTCGTGTGCAGTTAAAACGTTTTAGAAAAAAATGTTCACCAGTCACCAGTGGTGTTCTTCTGCCTCTTTTGGAGATTCATAGGGAAGACACGATCATTCTTGTTGAGACCAAAACCATATGTACGCTATAAAAATGAACCTTTTCCCTCACTCTCTGACAAGAAATCAGACAAGCATTTCTCATTCTGGGTCAGTTGAGATTACCAAAAATATATATATTTGTCTTTGCTTGATGCTAAACAAATAAAAAAATTACGTTTTTTTATTATTACTATTATTATTATTTTATTTGCATCAAATTATTATTTTTAATAAACTGGCCTTAATATCTGATAAAGTTCCTTTTTAAGCTTTGATCAATCCTGTGTCGAGTGCTTCAACACAAAAGCCGCCTCTCCTTTGTCCTTATTTTAGCTGTACTACCGTTATCGTACATTTTCTGGCTACATGTTGAAATGCTTTTGGTGAATCTTCTCTGTCCAATTTATCACATTAACTTTTGCACAGGCTTTAACTGACGTTAAACAGCTGCCTGGGTCATTACTCCTTGTCGAGCAAATTACTCTGGTCTTTCATTAGCTCCCTGTAAAATACCAAAATGTGTTTAGCTCTTCTTTTTGTTTTTTGTTTTGTTTTTTGTTTTTTACTTCCTACTCTCTCTCTCTGATCTTTTACACCCACATCACTCTGATTTTCTGCACATTATCATTTTTTTCCACAGTCTAAGATCCACATCATCCATTTCCCTCGTTGTACCCCCTGCAGGCCTGGCTGTTACTGACTGCGGCGCTCTCAGTCAAGCGGCCAAGCATCTTAAAATCTCTCTTATCACATTTTCAACTTATATTCTCTCCCTACAGCCAAAGCTGTTCTTAAAACATCTTTTAAAGTCATTTACGTTTTAGATTTTTTTTTTTTTTTACTGTTGACATTTATATGTCATGTTGTGATGACTCTATAGTCTTTGGCCCTTTTAACAACGGTTTCCTCCGTATTGTCGATCGGTATTTTCACTGCTGCTTGGTGTTTTTCAGGGTCCAAACAGTAACCTTTAAATAAAATGCCTACTATTTTTATTGCCCACAATATTGCAGGAGAATTTAATTTGCCTGAAACTCTTTCGGGATGAGGCATCGCCTACCCTGGGCTGCAGATCTTGCCACAGGGGTTCAGTGCAGGTCCAGTCCCAGAGTCCCAGGGCCACCTCCACCTCCCCGAGAAACACATTTCTTCCCAGAGGTTCAGCGTGCCACACAGAGAGGTTCAACGTCCGACTGCGCAGCTCCCCGATAAGGACTTTATACTGAAACAACACAGTCAGAAGAAATCCGTGAACGGTTTTGAAGGACACTGATTACAGTTGCCCGCTTAATGCAATGTGAGCTTGAGAGAGCATCTCACTCTGAGTGTCTGATCATAGACCGGGTTTAATGTTTTCTTCTTGACCGACGTTTTCTTCTTGCTGTGATGCGACTTGTCTGGCAAAAGATAGCTCTTTACATATCTGTGAAGTACACACACACACACACACACACACACACACACACACACACACACACACACACACACACACACACACACACACACACACACACACACACACATTTGCATATTGATTCGGAGCTTGACACTACCGCTCTGAAGCTAGTCACATGAAAACACAATTGCTTACGGGTCGGAGCGGTTCTTGCGTGCTGAAGCAATGTCCTCACAGCGATACACTTTCACCTGGAGCTCCTCCCTGTGATTGTCGTAAATCAGTGAGTACTGGATACGGCCCCTCACCTCCACCGCTCCGAAATCCCCCGAGCTGAACAGACTCATCATGCTTCCACCGAGCTGCAACAAACACACAGAGACCAGCTCCTGCGTCACTGTCCTGAGCTGAGTCATCTTTGCGTCCCCTTGATCGTCAGCTGATCAAATGTGTGTGTTCAGTGAGTGTGCGTGCGTGCGCGTGTACCGTGTAGCTTGATTGAAGGCTACCGTTGGAGCTGCTGGTTTTCACAAAAGCTGGATCTGGCTCTGTCAGGCTGCCGTTAGGAGAGTCTGAGTCCCCGTTGAGACCCGCAATGAAGTCTTCCTAAATGGAAACATTCACAGGAGGGTTTAGTTCTCGTGCAAAGGTGACATATTTCTTCAAGATGCACATGTGATTCCATGAACGGGTACACAATTTCAGTCAAACTGTTCAGATGATGCCATGACTTTCTGAACATGGTGCCTGAAATTGAGTTTAAACATTAATTACAAAGAAATTCATACCCTGACTTGAAAAGAGTTGAATTGTGGGACTTTAATGGCACCCTCCACATTTAATGGGGATTAAAAAAAAAAAAGCATCATAATTTACTTTTTACAATTTGATCCATGAGTTAATTCCTGAATTTCTTTTTACCCTCTCTTCAACAATGGAAAAACAGAGTATATGCCATCACAGTAGAGCTAGTGTGTGTTCTCTTGGTCTGTTGATAAGTCAGGAAAAGGATATGAGCAAATTTGCACAGTTATATAATAATATAACTCTGAAACAACAGGAACTGTGACAAACTAGACTGGATGAGGGTCCATATTTATCTTCCCTTCAAAAAAAAAACATGAAGGATGTTCATGGAAGGATGTTTTTCAGGAAAAAAAAGGGTGTTTCTATTGAAACGTAACTATTTTTGCCTGCAAGTTTTGTTATACATTTGTCGATATAGAACCTTCTAGCCAAACCGATGAACATAAAGGCTTGTTCATCGGTTTGGCTAGATGAACAAGCCTTCATCTAGCCATGATCCCTAATGGCCATAAAACCATTAGGGATCATGGCTTCATGATCCCTAATGATCAATGCTGCTGCATTGATCATTAGGGATCATGAAGCCCCTAAAACAAACATTTTACATGCAAACTGGTTGGTTGGGAGTAAATAAGTGCCATTGCGAACATAAATATGTGGAATTTGTTAATTGCTTCGGCAATGATATGTGAAACTATGTCCTTTTTGTCAAATGAGGCAAAGATTGAATTTTTTTGTAGCTGCAATAATTTCAGTATTACACATTTTCATTCTCACTCACTAACTTAATGTAGCCAAATAAAATTTGTATGAGTTTTTTGGGGGGTTTTTTAAGCGGCCAACTGTGTATAGGTAAACTTAGGCGGAGCAGAAATGTTTACACATATAAAAACTACTCGTGGTACGACTGTTTTGCTGAAACCTTTTCCGGAGAATATACTGAAGCCCAAACACTTTATATTGTCACTGTACAAATATCATCCTCCAAACAATTGAAAAGTTTTGGAAGGGAACATGTCTGACTTAGTGTTTCACGCAATGTCAAATGTTGACTCAGTGTCAGTGGATGGGAGTTAGAAAACGGGCTAGATGGACACTGTTTACCGAAGCGGTTAGTCATAGTACTGTGTGAGTGTAGGCGGGCAGTGTGATCACCTCAGGTTCTTCTGAGTGGCCATTATTTCTTGTTTCGCACTCTGTGAGCAAAACAATGTGAACATTGTTACTCAGAAGCATCCAGTGATGAACAAAGGATTTTTGACATTTCTTTTCATACCTTTGCATGGAGAACTGTTCGCATGATTCAAAACCTGTAATTGGAAGAAATTTGGCATTTAATTTAATATTAAAATGGGTAGCTCATAAATAATTTATAGTAGAGGATTTAAAAAAAAAAAATCCAAACACACACATGCTCTGCTGGTGTATCAGGTCTCAGTAAGTCGGGTTTCAGATTTTCCTCACTTCTGAAAGCGAAGTTAGAAATCAGAAACTGGAAATCAGAAATTGTTCCGATAATATTTACTGCGAGCAGAGCTTTTAATTTGGGGGGTCACTCTGACTGACCTTCCACTTCCCTCTTCTGTTTTGTCCTGCTGTCTTCCTCCTGCCTCAGGAAGGACGCCGTTCACCGGCGTTTCCTGCTTCTCTCCGATGAACAGCTTATTCAAGTTCACATCTGTTGCCATCACAACCAGAGAACATTCACCGAGATAAATAGCCCTGCAGCGGCACAAAAGAACAGCCCCTCTCACTTAAGTGGCGAGAACTCACCTCTGCTCTTTGTCTTTCTGTGGCGTATGGAGGCCCGAATGAGGTCAGAGCCCGAAGTCCATCTGCAATGGCGTTTACTGTACTCCTCACTGAACCATTCTCCAGAAAGGAGGCGCAGACGAGACGGATTTTTTTCTGTCTGCTCCAGATTCCTGCACCATCGACAGAGATCCAGAAACTGATGAAACTGAAACCTGCGGAACTGATATCAGGCTACGTTAACCTGTTCACTGTTAACGCTTGCACGCAAGTCAGTGACAGCTAAGGAGAAATGTTACTGTTGACACTTTGACCTCAGTTAACAGTTAATTTTTTTTCCAAGATAAAAAAGAAAAAAAAGAAAAAAAAAAAAAAAGGTCCGTCAGTAAAATATCACATCTGTCTGTAGAAAATGTTGATATTTTACGTGGGAATGGGATAATAGCAGAGGGGATTCAAATATTTCATTTCATTTCATTCATTAATAGAAAAATTAAACATTAGGACTAAAAATAAACTTCCCAATTACATATTTGACCTAGGCTGTTGAAAACAAGCACAATTAATATTTGATTTTGAAGAAAAAAAAGATTTTTATGCTATACATTTTGAGATTGAAAATTTACAAAGTTTAAAAATATGAATATATATATATATATATATATATATATATATATATATATATATATTTTATATACAAATATATAATCTATATGTTATACATGTGTGTGTTTATGT